GGTCAGCAATTCGCATCTCCCGGTAAATTCTCATATAGAGACTATTTATCTACTTTAATTTTTCGGAGTGATCCCACTAAAGTCACCAATAAATATTGTACTTGTTCCGGTTTGTAGTTATGAAACCCAACAAGATTGCATACGTTCAGCATTTTGTGTATGCGAGCACAGGAAAAAAGTAACGCCTGACCAGTAGCTCTTCTAGATCCACTAGCATACACCCAATCAGCAGCATCACACGAGACTATGCGATATGCCCGTTATATGCGTTGTTGTTTGTGTAATTGTCTGGAGTGAATGACAGTATCTGCAGACTGTCTTGAAGATAATGTATTTAAAGACCACTTAGGCAATTCAATAAGTTCATTCAAATTGCGTTATTGTTTGTGTAATTTTCTATGATTATGGAATTGTCTAAGGTTATGGAATACAATTTTTTTTAAAGACAATTTGGGTAATTTGGTTATTTATGTTATATGTACTTACACACTAACAAACATTCACTTTATTCAGTATCCATTCGTTTACCTGTAGTTTAGAACTTTATATATCAGACACAAATAACTGCATTAGTGTGTTTTGGTAAGTACTAATAAGTAGAGAAACAAATGACATAAACTGCAATTACTTCTGATTAGTATTTTAAATCACATTTAAACTCAAACATTCACATATTCACTTATTTGGTATCAAATCTTAAGTTTCTATTCAGATCTCATTCATTACGTCCATATATAAAACACAAAGAACATTTGCTGGCTCGTGACATTGTAGGTAGAAATAAATTATTTGGTTAGCATTATTTGGTGTTTATTATTTTTTGTATTATCTGTCATTTCGATAATTCACAAAAATTTTTTTTAAAATGATTATCTTCTCAGTCAGATCAAATGGATGAAGCGCCTCACAATTTTTAAATGCATTTGTGAATGATTTAATGTAATTCATTAAAGTTCTCTAACGCTATATACGTAACAGCCCGTGAGAGGAACTGATTATATTATATAGGTACATATGTGTTATTTTAATTATAGCGAACGTTTTGTGATGTATTCATTATGTCATAGACTAAATTTATTTCACAGAACGATTCTAGACTATAGGTAGCTCAAATGAAACTATCAAAACTATCTAATTTATCCAGTATTACAGTGCAAGGTGCACAATACATCAAACTGGTCGCAGTGCATAGGGGCTTTAGCCTAACCCGAAAACCCCCAAATACCATTACCATCTACTGTGCAATGATCCAAAATATTTTTGGATGGTTTGAACCCAAAAATGATCACTCCTTATATAAGCGACTGGGTCTATTGCTAGATACTCTTCATAACGCGATCTCTCTCTTTGCGAATTTTGTTCCTGAAATATCTGTTCATATGCAATCTTTAATTTAAACATTATGTTTAGTGATTTGGATGATCTATTAATGACTAATAATAGAAAGAATGTTGGTGTATTCATTCTTTCATTCTCAGGGCTATTTTTGCTCTATAAACAAATATTGCATTCAAGTTCTAAACGTCGTCAAACATTTAATTAACATTCAACTTTTAATCGTTAGTAAATCTTGAATCATCATTTAATCTCGAATCAACGTTTATCTTCTTCTTATTTTCACATTTTGCTTTACGAGTTAAAAAAATATTGTAATTTTTAACATTAAGAAAAGGTTTCAGTACACTTAAGTTTTTTAGCTTTGAAAGAGATATGAAATTGGCACCGATACGTCTTTCTGTGCTTTATTGAGCAATGGCTTCTCATATATGTACATACGTACTTATACATATGCACGCATACATACATACAAATATCATATTGTACAAAATATTATGGCAAAAATATTTTGTGCCGATTGAACTCAGTAAATATACAAGAGTATATGTACGTATGTATTTATGTAATTAAAAAAGAAAAATAATATAACACATTAACAGAGGCTATAAAACGAACACGTTGATCTTTTATAGATCAATCGATCGATAAAAGAATGCTTATGTATGTACGGCAGTTTATGCATCAAAGCTAAATCTAAAGTAGCACGAAACATGCCATTTTATAAATCTTTTTTTTTGTTATTTTTTTCTATTTAAGTTATTTGTTCCACTTTGTACTTGTCTTTCATCTCTTAAAAGCGAACAAATTCTCTTTAAAATATTTACGTGTATTGCTGTCCTCTTAACCTGTCGCCTGTGTGTTTGGAGATATCTTTTTCGTCACAAAACTCAACCAATTTGGACTTTGAACTTTTACGTGTTTATTTGCTGCTCTGCTTGGCTGTTGCTCACCGGCTAAATTTTTACATTACGTTTGCTGGCTTATTGGGAATTTTCATGTGTAAAATCATGCAAAGGCAATACGTGGGAAATAATGCAATGCCTTTTGTTGTTGTTGTTTTTGTGTCTGCCGCGGTATACCCAAGACTGTGTTCTTTGCTGATGAAATTTACAAATAAAATTTGTACTTGTTTTGTTAATTTTCTGTTTACAAAATTCTGTTAAAAAATAAATAGAAACTTCATTAATGAATTTTCAGCTCATAATTTATTATTGAAATAAATTTAGTGTTTTATATAAAATACACTTAAGCAAGTAATGATTTTGTAATACTTCCTCATCAAGTAGGATTTTGTAAGATTTTCATCACCTTTTAACAGCTAACATAGCCTCGCCGAGGATTAGAGAGTATCGCACTTTAATAAATATCAGTGGAATATTCAGGGAGTGAATTGTTGAATAGAGCGCCCTTGACAATAATCAGAGAGGATTAGATATATCCTAAAATTTAATAGACAATTGTGTCGTTCTTTGATAGATATCAGTGGCGTTTTAGGGCTGAATTAGGGGATAGTTGTCCCCTTTACAATAATCGTAGACAGTTACAGATAATCCAAAATTTGGTAGACCAATTGTGCTGTTCCCTAATAGATATTATTGGTGTTTTTGAAGAGATAGATGTCTCTTTGACAATAATCGTGGTTTCACAAAATTGGACAGATCAATTGTGCCGTTCTTTGATAGATATGAACGACGTTTTAAGAGAATAGATAGATATCCCCTCAACAATACTCATGAATGGTCAGATTACGCTAAAATCTAACAGATCGATTATGCCATTCTTTAATAGATATCAATACCGTATTCAGGCTATTAAATTCGGAATTGTTTCTTCAATTCTTGTTGCTGTTATAACCCAGAGGGACAGGGAAAGCAAGAATAACAAAACTCGTATGAAGAATAGAATAAAGATAGTATACTTAGTGTACAGTTGAAGCACACTTTGGGAGTACTCGTATTTATAAGAGTTGAGTAACTGTTTAGGGACTTAGGTAGTACTTGCAATGAAAAGCGAGAAGAGAAGAAAGAGATCGGTATATCAAAAGTGAATGGAGATCAATTAAACTTAATTTTTACTCCGTTTTTAATACTATTAGCTGACCATTGAATGTTTTTTATTATAATGTATCTATTCGACCTGTATATTCTCTGGATTAAGTCTTCAATAACTATTAATTGTTTGTTAACCTCAAACAATGGTTTCGTTAAGAGAGAGTTGACTCGGATGGAAAAGTGATTAAAAAAGCAAGGTTTATGTTCGACAAAAAAAAACATTAATAATGTTAGCCAATGTTCAAAGCGGTTAAGGCACTTAGAAGAAGGGGCTTTGAAAGGTCTCGACAAATCGATTTCATATTTGCAAAACAGTGGAATGATTATAATACAGTTCATAATAAAATAAACTAATAAGTGGTATTGGCAGAGATGCCTATTTTGATAGGCTTGTCTGTCGTTCTATAAAAATGGTATAATAATTTGGAAGATTTTTATAAACTCAAATAATATATTCCTTTTGCGGATGAATGAAATCGTGGCTTTATTAATGAATAGAGCCGATTTTAACTTAAATTAAATTATTTTTGTATATTGAGAAAAAGCTTTTGTGGACCTACTGTTTTATATTGTTATTTCCTAGAATATTAATTAAGAATAAACAAAATAATTAGCTACTAATTTCCTTATATAATATTTATTGTTTATGTTTTTTTTTTGTTTTCAATATTAATAAAATATTATTAAAATAAAAAAAATTATCTTGTGAGATTTCAAAATATCTCAAAGAGCAATGAAATCAAAATTCTTAAACGAAACCTTGATCTTTTCGAGTTTATTTTTTATATTATTTTTATTTTTATATTATAAAAACCGACTATAAATACAAACACTTAAGACATTATTTAAGAACGTAGATTAGATTTCATTAGTTATATCAGGAACTCTCCTATCAAGTTTTATTAAGAATTTGCATTTCTTTTACTATTATTTCTTTATTTTTATCAAATTTTTCGATAGGTTATCAGGCAATAATAATTAAACTGATTTATTCGTAATTAAACGCAAAAACATTAATTAATGTTAAATTATGTGGAACACATAAAAATCTTAATATAACATCTTGTGTACGTGAGATCTGCCAAAAATGGCTCTTCAATAAAATGAGGTCCCTAAACTGAACACAGAAAATTTCTTACAAAACCCCAAAAGTAATTTATAAAGCTAATAATAGAGTTTTAATATTATTTTTTTATTTCAAAATTATTTAACAAAAGATAAAACTTCTTAAGTTTTGAAGGATATATACTTTCAATATTAACGGCACTTGTGCTTTTTCACAAAACTGATGGCCGCTATGAAATGTACTTTCGGGTCGGAAGGAACCTCTTTATGGTGCCCAAGAAAAAGTTCTGCAAGTTTTTGCAAATATTTTGCTTACAGCTTTTACATTTCCATAATATGAATAAACATTTTATTTTCATTGAAAAATTTTTTCATTAATATTTTATGTAAATAAATTATTAATTACAATTCCATCGATTATAACTCACACGACTCAATATTGTGAACATTAACACATGGCAAATAATCACCTTCAAACAGCAACGCTCAACATTTTTGGATAAAAGAAGGACAGTTCAAAATAAAGGTTTCAACTTGTCACACAAGTGCTGCAGAAGTGAAGAATTTTCAGGATAGAGTGAGTGATGGAGACCATTTCAACTAAAGAACCTGATCTGGATAAAGCTGGATTTAGATTACTAACATTGGATAATCCGGTATTCTGTTGCTACTTGTTCTGGACAAGCATATTGATTTTGAAAATGCTAATGATGTCCATATTGACTGCTATGCAACGTATAGGCACGAAGGTAATATATAGGTCGACTAGCATTAAGAGATAAGGTTCATAATTTTTTATATTTTTATAATATACGATTCGAAAACTCTGCTCATACACTATGTGTGATTATTAAATCTTGATTCGATATAATTACCATAATAATATAGTTCCATAAATAGCCGAGTTTACTTTCCATAGCTGTAGTGCGGATTAAAATTAATATTTTTATTATAAATGACATGTTGATAATAAATTGGAGTAGAACCTAGTCTATTTGTGTACTTTTTCATAATGCACCACTTTTTTACCAAATATTCTTAAGAGGTCCTTTTCTGTAGACTCCTTTCGGGCACTTAAAGAGGTAGGAGCACTCTGTGTACAAACTAAGTGTATTGGAGACACTATGTCAGACAGTACCTAATGGCGTCAAACTGGAAGACATTAGCACTCAATTGGGGTATGTGGAAAGATTTGTAGAATCCCCAGTTAAAGACCGTACACGAGTTGTATTACCAAAGATGATAAATTCATATTATTGTACATTTAATATGAGCTTCAAGGTAACTTTAGTAAAACCATTGTTTAATTTGTATAAATGTAAAATCTTCCAACTTCTTTTTAATTAAAATAAGGTTAGAGTGAAGATTGTATTTATAACTTTATTAAATTCTTATCGAAACATTATATATATCGAAACAATATTTATAAAATATAAATCTCAAATAGATAAATTTTTCATTAAATATATTTTTCCAATTCCCACTACATTTTTATTTCAGACCTTCGCTAATCCAGAAGATTTAAAAATGCGTACAACGGATGAGGTAAAATTTAATGACCCAAACGTGGAACGTGTAAGGCGGTGAGTTCATTTTCTATTTATACATATATAACACAAATTATCACCCCCTAATTATCGACCCCACATTTAAAACTAATAGCTAACAATTTAATTTATAAATTTATTTTTAGTTCAAATATGTAATGACTTCAAGTAGAGTAGTTAGATAGCGAGATAGAGAGGGATAGATAAATAGAACTATTTTGTGTAGTTGATTAAAAATTGTTTTGAGGTCAACAAAAAAAAAACAATTACAATTTTAATTCAGACCTTAATCAAAACGTTATATAAATATTATACTCGTACGTAGTATAATATTTCCTGATGTAGTTTTAGTTCCCTATATATATATATATATAGGTATATAATTGGTGGGTAGTTTTGAACTGTGTTTGACAGTGCTATTTGTTAGTATACGTCAGTGATTTCATTTCAGTAAAAACGTTTATCTTTTGTAGCCTTGTATTAGGTTAGATATATTACTCTCTTAATTACTCTTACTCCTATTGGGCAAGAAGTAGTGTTCGCGAGAACAACCGGAATATCTAAGACAAGCGACAAGAACAAAAAGGTGTATTTGGGGAGACAACTGAGTTTTCTAATACAAAAAATTAAGAAGAATATTTTAGGCACATCCGATTTTCTAATACAATTGTCAAGAACACACAGAAACTGATATTTTAAGAAACAACCAAATTACGGAATAGAAAGGGCAAGAACAGTGAGGCTTGATTTATGATAATATATGCCGCGCTTATTCCTTTTTTAAAACCATAAAAGGATTCGGTTTGTCTATTTCAACAGAAGTTAGACTTGCAATTAGACACATCCACAGTTTTTAAGTGGATGTTAAAAATTTTTTGGAATGACTAAAACTGAACTCTATATCACACAATTACACTAGATTTTAGACAATCCTCAGGGACCTCAAGATTGATCCGATCAAAAAATAGTTAAAGGATAGAGCCCTTAGATTATTTACTATTATAAAACTGACAGGCTTACCAACACCGCGTTATCGAATCTCAGAAGGGTTGCATACTCCTCGGGGACGTATGCAGATCTGAGGTCAATTATTGCTTAATCTGATGAAGTGATAAACAATAATCCAGTCAAGGCGTAGAGAGAGGTTAAAAGAAACCTCGCAGTTAATAGAGAGTAAAAGTACTCAAGTGCACTGACTCAATTAGCCTTAACATAATAATAATTTATAAAATTAATTTATTTTGAATTAGGTATTTGAAAAGATTCTGAACAATATTTTGAATCATTTTTTTGAGGGTTAAGATTTGGCTACACCACTAGAATTCGCCAGTAATTATTCAGATATGTATTTTTATGTATATCAACTATTTTAGTTGTTTTTTTTATTTTCTCCAAAATTGTGATATCAATGACTATAACAAGATAATTTAAGTATCGATAATATCACTTAATATTATATCGCTTACTTATTCCTAATCATTCTCCTGATATATTCCACTGTGAATTCCCAATTAATGTCGTTTTTAATTACACTGCATTATGTTTGTATTACTATTGTTTTTGCAGTGCACATCGGAATGATATGGAGAACATTTTACCGCTCTTGATCATGACCTTGATCTATATAGCAACAGGTCCGAATGCAACACTGGCACGTATTTTATTTCGCATTGCAGCCGTCTCACGTATTGTGCATACGCTGGTCTACGCTTTTCGACCCGTGCCACAGCCGACACGCGCCATCACTTTCTTTACTACCTTCTTCATCACGGCTTACATGGCTTTCTATGTTTCCATACGCACTATAACTTACATCTAAGTTCGCGCTTGGGTGACGCTTAGAACAAAACGGCCAGACCGTAACCCAAGCATGGTGAAGTGTGTTTTATTCGTTGTTATTATAAACTTATGCCATAATAGAAGCACAAAACAAAAACTTAATAAAAGTGAAAACACAAAATAAACAAATATTTTAAATATTCTATTTTTATTTACCGAGGAACTCGTATCTCTACGATTAAATGCGATTTAATTACGCCGTCAAACCAGTTATGGCTAGTCGCTTGCCTCTATTGGCATCTTGCCATTTGCTATTCGCCAAAATCAAGATTGGCTTTGGCTAGTTGAGTAGTTTGAGTTTTTGAGAATTCTGTCGAAAATCTAGAAGCCAGTGTAGTTTTAGACTCGAAGGTGTATTGTAATATATTTCTCTGTTTCTGTTTTGGTTCAGCTATTTTCACTTTTAAATTGCAACATAATGAGCTCAGCTTCAAGTGTCCAACCAACGTCAGTGGTGCCACCACAAATGTCAACGATCAGTGCCATTGATAAGGCAATGAATTTGTTGACCCTTGATAATCCAGTTTTCTGCTGTTTTCTTTTTTGGACCAGCATTTTGGTGATAAAAATGCTTCTGATGTCATTACTGACTGCACTGCAACGTTTCAGAAATAAGGTGAGTTAGTATTTTATTTCTAATACATAGCATATATAGCATGCATAAAATATGTATTATATATAATTGCTATGATTTATATGTATTCATAAAATCAATAAATTTTTTAACATTTTTCCTGAACTTCCGATCTTATATAGCTAAAAAGTTGTAAACTTATAGCTTTTATATTCGAAGAAAATGTTGCCAAGTAACGACATAAACATATTTTATATGCTGTTAAAGTCCATGTAAAACACTGTTAGCTGTTAGGGAAGTCTATTGGATTCTCACTTCCCTAAGAATAGTAAAACTACAACTTGAGTTATTAGCGGCAATGTTCGTCTATAGCAAGTAGCTACGGAATGTTGATCATATCACTTCTGAAACCCTTAAATTCACTTCTTCGACATTAGTTCCTTATAATGTCCTATATGTACTTCAAATATATTGTTGGATATTGTCATTATTACAAAGGATTAGAATAAATAAATAAAAATGAAGTGAGAACGTTCAAACGAAAATAATTGTTATAGAGTCAAATTTTTATTTCCAATTATTATTTTTGCATTATTTGAGTTTTGCCTCATATCCATATATTTAGAATATTTAAATAACTGTTCAGAGAGATCAATGATTGGCAACTTCGACTTGTCTTATATACCTTATTCCTTAAGCAATTGAAGTTATTGTGCAAACCTTCCCTTCAAACAATCAGATTGTCTTATTAACCTTACTATCTAACGACGGTCAGGTGGTTGTACAAACCTTACTCCTAAGCCAGTTAAACTATTTGTGGGTTTAATAGCAGTTTATATTTATTTATATTTCATTTTATAATATTTTGAATTAATATGCAAGGCCATTTACTTACTTACTTATTTGGCCATAACCACCCGTTACCGAGTTTTGGTCTTAAGCAGCATATCTTTCCCGACGCTTCTGTTGCGTGTGTGTCTTCGACAGTCTCAAACATCAAGTCCAGTTAGTGCCCCTTAATTTAATTATTTCACAAGAGACCCGGTCTACCTCTACGCGTTCTTCCTCTAACTACTGTTTCAAATACCTTTTGACATCTTCATTCAATCTCACGACAGAACAAAGCCAAAAAAACCGTTGAATGTTAGTTAGTTAGTTGTGGTGGAGGGACGAACGAGTCCTCCTCAATTAGCTAAAAAAGTCGTTTTGAATCCACAAAATCTCGTAATGTGGATAGTAGAGAGAAGGTCAAGCTAGAACCAACCGTTGTATGTTAATTCGTTGAAATAATATGCAATCAATATTAAGAAAGGTGTGTCACACCTATTTTGTTAGTGCCGGCACATACTTATTGAAGGATTAATATTCTAACTTCTTGAACTGTATAAACTCCACTTATGCAAGTTCTTAGGTCATATTAAAACTTAGTAGCTGTTTTTCAAACTACAATGGATACATAGGGATCTTCCAATTATAGTAATGTATAATAGCTTTATGAAGTCACCGTTATAAACAAACCTTACCTATTATTTTTATTTAATATATTCAATTCATATCGAACCTTTGTGGTATATATACACAACTTGGAATATTTATAAATATGTTTTCATTTTTTTATGTAGATAGTAGTGTGGAAAAAAATATTAAGAAATAAATAAATTGAAAATAAAATAAAATTTTTAAATTCTAACTATTTAATTAAAAGCTTAACATAATAAAATAATATTGAAAGTCTATAATTTTACTTTTTGCCTAAATTTAAACATTTGTTTATAAGTTATCGAACAATTACAGATTTTGGGTCTATTTCCTGAAAACTTTTTAAGAAAGGTAAATTGGCAAATTTTGAACTTCTACTATTCTTTTTCTATTCTACTACAATCATTCTTTTATTGTCATATAAAATTAAATAACAAAAAATTTAATACAAAATAACTTTTTAAATTTACTACGACTTTTTTTTCGTAGGTCTTTCCCAATCAAGAAGATTTGTTCTTCAAGAACATAGAGGTGGAATTTAATGATCCACATGTGGAACGTGTTCGCAGGTAAAATCAATAAAATTTACTACACTATTAAAAATATCGTAAATATCTTATCTTAGATCTTAAATATATTTTAATTCTAAAATAACATAGTAATATAATAAATTGACTTTTCTTATTTTAGAGCTCATCGCAACGATATGGAAAATATTTTACCCTACTTCACTATGGCGATCATTTATATTTGCACAAATCCAAATCCAAGTATCGCATGTAACTTATTCCGTGTGGTCGCTGTAGCCCGTATTTTGCACACTTTGGTCTATGCCTTCTACCCAGTACCGCAGCCATCGCGTGTAATCGCTTTTGGAGTAGCGTTTGCCATAACGATTTATATGGCATGCGATGTAGCATTGCAGACACTTAAATATATATAAAAAACTATATATTAAATATATAGTTAATTTTAATTATTTGTAAATAATTAGTGATTAATAATGGTGTACCTGGTTTATCTTCTCTATTCGGTGTGAGAATTGGTCAATAAAATTATTTTGAAAAGATTCTATTGTGTTTATATTTCAGGTCTATAAAAAGTATCACAGTAATCCCCCCTATAACGTGGTAGATTGGTTCCGTGTTTTAGGAAAACACGTTATAGAGGTATTCCCGTATACACACGTGCGAAGGTACGCTAAGCTAATTATGTACTGTAAAAGTCCCCGCGTTATTTGGGGGAATGCAATCGCATAATATGAAAACGCGTTATTGGGGGCCGCGTTATTGGGGGCCGCGTTATAGGGTGATTACTGTGTTTAGAATTTATGCCTTAATAAGCTATTCAACTTAATTTAATTTTTTATTATAATAACATTCTTATTATATTATAGAAGTTCGCATATATCGAGTTATAAGGTATTGTAATATAATTATACAATTATAATCTAAATGTCCACTTCATCCCAATTCTTAGTGTGATGAATTTAGATATATCGAGCCTTGAAAGATGTCTATTGTAGTTCATTTCAAAATAAATGCTAAACGGCTGACAATAAATGAAGCAGGAATTAAAATTAAAATTAAATTAATTTATATATTCTTGTTTTAATTTATTTTATGTTAAACATATTAAATAAATAATTTATAGAAGTTCTAACTTGGTAATTACGATTAAAATTTATTTGAGAACAGTTCAGTTTATTATCCATACAAACGCACGACGACATCTCCATTAATTTGCGTTTCACTTAACATCCTGGAAAGTAAAACACATCTTGTTTCTTCTGCATGTTTTAAGTAACAAATATTTTTGGTAATTTTATAGAAAAAATGATTAAATGTTGTTATTTTAGATATTAAAGCCTTGATCTCGCATACACTGCTTATGTGCTTCAATGAGCGATGAGCAGTTTGGTTCACCGTGTTCCAAAATACTGAAATAATTTATTGGTCAGTTCATTTTTTTACTATTAATTTATTAAATGCAATAACATTCACCACTGATCACGCGCTCGTTTAGTTTCAGGACAAGCACAGCAAGCCTTACATTTTGGCTTGGTTTCACCACTGGCCGCCGAGACAGCTGCGGCTTGCGACACCTCTTTTACTGGAGCATTACCCATTATTAATGTTTTGTGCAGGAAATCTTAGTTTTAAGTTGTGAAATTACAATTTTCTTTTTAACAAATAAGTAATAATTATTTTTATAGCACTTTTTTAAAAATAATTTTCGTATTAATATACTGTCACTTGATTTATTTACATAACAATTTCAATGACATTTAATTTCGTAAAACAAATGCTCGTGCAAAATATGCATTCAAGTTCAACTTTTTTTTCGGTAAGCAAAGCAGCTGACTGAGAACACTATAAAGAACTAATCTCAATAAAGTACAGTACGCTAAAAAAAATTATTTGTTATGATAGAATATTGTACAACAGTGATTATGCATGCATATAGCGTTAATGGTTTTTTAACAGTATTTTCAAAATATTCGCTTTTGAGAAGCAGCAACTTTATAATAAAGTAAAAATCTAAATAATATAGTCTACAACAACAACAATAATGCACTTACCAACATTAAATCACTTTTCTTAAATGCAACTCTGTATTTGAATGAAGATTCTATGTTGTTCTGTACAAAAGAAATTTAAATAAAAGTCTATGGTGTCGTTAAGTAATGCCAACAAAGTTTTAAAAAATAAAAAATATAATAATAACTATTAAACTTATTTAACTTAATTATTAATTTTTGCATAATAGTGAGTTTAAAACTGAGCAAAGAATCTCATTAATGGAGTTTAGATGAAGCTAAAAAAATGGTTAATTACATTATTATTAAACTTATTATTAAAATTATTAAACTTTTTGAAAACAATTTTTAGAATCCCACATCTCAAGCTTATTATGAACATCTAGCTGAAGTCACTGGTATAAATTTATATTGGCAACAAATAAAAAATAAAATAAGTTACTTGAAGAATACTTATTTTAAGGCTAAAAGTTGTCGCCAGTTCTTAATTTCTATTTCTATTTGCATCAATCCTGAAGATAGGCTAGTTTAAACTTAATTCAAAATTTATTGAAACGAATTTTAATTGTATTTATATGCTTAGAAAAACTCCATCCATAAGATGTGTTCACTTTTTGAAAAGCCTCATAAAATTTTTGGGCAAAATGAAGGAGATGAATCTTTAATCAACCAATCATCTCTCAAAGTGAAAAAGGAAATAGATATACCACAATCATCCGAACCATTGATTTAAATACCAGTAAAACCAATCGTAATGGTAGAATCAAAAATAACGCAGACTTTAATGTCACCACCACCAACAATAGTAGATGATGATTTAATAACATCAAAGCTAGTGGCTAATGAACCCACAACATGTGTTTACAATTAGAGTTTTAAAAATTGAAGTTAAAATGAGAAGAAACAAAACTTAAATGACTTGGAATTAAAGAAACTAGATATTGCACAAAAAGAGCGCGTAGCCACGATTGAAATTGATGATACAAATGACTAAGACTTTTATGTAATATCTTATAGCTACATACGCAGAAATAATTTTTAATAAATAAGACTTGACATGTCTGTGATGTTTTTATTAAATAGTATTAAAAAAAATAGTTATGTACTGTTGTAACAGGATTATACATTTGAATTTATTTATTATTTATGTACTTTAACAAAGAATTGTTCCTTTTTTACATAAACAACATAACATTTTAAACGTTATTATTAAATGTTATCATTATATTGTTATTAAAATGGCTTATTTTATCAAAATTTGTTTCTTAAATGATTTTAAGAGCGTTCACGTTTCCATTGCATCTTTACTTCCACTTGGCAACATTATCTCCGTATCTTCCATGGTTGCAGTTTCCATCGATGTCTGTGCTTTTAGGCGTTGCAGAAAGTTCTGTGATATCAAATCGAGTTTTAAATGTTGTACATTGATTGCACTCCCATCCCAATCTAGTAGAGTTTTGTATTTAATTGGATCGCAGAGATTAATCATTTCTAGATAAGTTATAAAGATAAATAAATATTTAGTATCAAAATTATTACGAATTGTGTAATTAATTACCCATGCCACCGCTTTTAAACTCATTCATTTCCTTTTCCAATGTGATTCTTATAACATTTTCCCGCGCTATATGTTGATTGGAACGATTTTTGCTAATTGACTGTTTCAGTTTAATCTGCTCCAATTCTTCATCGAATCGTTTCAAATACAGCAAGACAAGTTCTTCAAATTCAACCGGCGACAAGGGTTCCTTGCGTTCCAGGTCGATGTGTTCAAGGAACCAATTTAACTTCTCGCCAGTCAAATTACTTTTTATTGCATGGCCCAGGCGACTTTTGTGTTTATTGTTTTGTCTGCGTGCTTTTTTGCTAAGTGCCTTGGTTTTGCGACTGTTCGGATGTTTGCATTTTTCCAATTCCTTACGTAAATTTGTCTGTAATTAAATATAATATTAATAATAATGAAAAAAATACTAAAAATTTACCATTTAAATTTTAAGCAAATTAGTAGTATTTATTGGCTCGTCAAATCTTTCAATATTATTTATTCACTTTATTATTTCATAATTTATTTATTTTAGTATATTTCAGTTACTATTAAATATTGAATAACACTATTTACCATCTTTTGTTAATAAAATATTTTTACTCAAGCGCGTGCTATTAATAACAAAACAATAATAAGTACTTGGGAACAGTTCAGTTGCCGATTACTAAAAAATACAATACATGCAGAAGACACTTGGTGTGAAACTCTGCTTTAGTTAATTTGCGTTAACTAAAGTAAAATCTGATCTACATTACTAATTGGACTAATAAATGAATTTGCCACTACACAATTTTAATTTAGCATGGCAAGTTCATGTTAAAATTATAAATGTGTGCCACATATAAAGTTAAATATGTTAATATTTTACACTTTAGCAAACTAGCATGCTCCGCGGTATTTTAAATTTGATCAGTAAATCAGCTGTTACCAGTTTATTTACACGTAATTTTTTGGAGATGGTTTAAACAGTTTCAGCGAGCTTTATTCTTATCATAAAGAATGTTTCCATTGCAACCTTTCTATGTAGCCATTAAACGATTTAGCATTTTTGCAACAGATTTAGCATGATAAATAAAAAAAGTATAAAGTGCCAATAAATTGGAAATTTCACCAGAGTAAACTATAAACAATAATTTTTATATATAATTTATAACTATAATTTGAAATTTTGATAAAATTTAATACTTTTGTAAGAGTTTTGTTCGTTTCTAATAAGTAGTCATTTATAGATTTCAAAAAAAAAAATTACCAAGCAATTGGAATGCTATATTACTTTTAATTGTCAATCTACATCATCAGATTTGACAAAGACAATATAAAATAGATAGTTATTATTCAAAAGTGAGTAAATCAGCCGAAAGAATTCTATATTCATAATTGTACACAGCATTACACACTTTGAAAACGGAAGTGCGAAGCCGTCCACGGACTCGATAAACGAGTGGGATTAGTCACATATGCAATACTAAATCCACATATTATTCATGGGAAGAGCTGTTAGTAAATGCTACTCGTTTCACTGCAATCCAAATCATGGCAATCATTGATTCGAGTTCTCAAAAAAACAAAGAGAAAATAAGAACATCAATCGAAAAAATTGCAAACAAAAACGAATTAGCAAATGAATATGTAATTTCTTTTCTTGCTCGATTTTATTTATTAATTGAAAACAGAAAACTTCATTGATTTATTTATTATTTACTTGCTGAATTGTATATAAAGACAAGTGAACACGGCGGTAAATCAAACTGGAAAGCAAATAAAAAATAGTGTTTTTTTTCTTTTTCTTGATTTGCTGTTTACTAAATTCTTAAAGTCAAAGTGTAAACACTTAAACCTATTTGTGGTTAAACTTCTTGACTCACGTAAATGTAAGCATATGATTAGGTAGAAATTTCTTTTATTCGTATTGTACAGTAAGAACAGTAAGATCTGAGTGTTAAATATAAGATTAAGAAGTTCAGATTAATAGCAATAATAATATATGAAATCATAAAAGGATTAAAATAAATGCAAATTTGGTAAGCAAACTTTTATTTTTATAGCTTAAATTAGAATTGTAACTAAGAAAATATGATAATTGATTATTTTTTTCTCTCAAACGCTTGCTATATTGTTGACAACAACTATCGTATAAGATATTGTAGAATCGATGCCTCTGGTGCCATCTATAAATGATGCAAGCGATGAAATGATCGGAGGACATTACATTTGTGGTTGATTTTAACGTAAGTTAAGAACATTGAAAGCAATAACATATTTGTCGTTCATTTGACTTTGAGAAACATCATTATATATAATTTGTGTAGACAATTATTCAATTCATGACTTTTATAAACTTAACATCTCTTTTCAGTCACGCAATCGGTCAGTGCTGATGTATAAGAGCCAACAACACCAACAAAAATAAACAACAACATAAAAATTAAGCAGAATTATTTTATATAACGAATTATTTTGTAGGGTAAAAAGAACACATGTAGACCGGCTATATGTCTCTGAGGCTACACTATTCTAGATTTCTGCAAAAATTTTAATTCAGTTGCTAGCAGATTCTCAATTTTGTCGGGCACGTTGTTTTGTAAGCGCGGCAGCACCGTCTTTTTTTTGTTTTTCCTTATATATTATTAAATAATTTCGGTTTATAACCAAATAAGAATTGTAATTGTTAATTTAATTTTAAAGTTTTATATTCTAAATGGCTTCTTACATATTAAGAAACGGGACTACATCTCTACTTAAAAAATACTGCCCACGTCAACTAAGTGGCCTCAAAAATGTAATAAAACCATAAAAGTTTTTTAAAACATAAATCTTTATTTCAAAATAAATAAAATAATAAAAATATGTATTAATTTTGTATAAAAACAATATTTTAAACAATTATATTAATAAAATATGGAAGGCATTCTTAATAAAGAAAAATTAATTACATAACCTTTCAATTAATTGACATTTGTCTGATCAGAACACTTGTAGTTGCGAAAATAAGAACAAAACAAAATAGAAACCGAACGTGTGCTCTCTTCAGAAAGTAATGAAGTGTTTTGTTTTCATAACAAATAACATATGATTTTTATGATATAAACAAAACAATTTCGGTGTTTTAAAAAATTGTAATAATGAAGGGTTTATAAGATTTTTAAACTATTTTTTATCAGTTTAATATAATTTTAAAAACATGAAAATTATAAAATTTTTATGAAACGATTTTGACAGTATCTGCCATTCGCTATGGTCATTCGCACTGCAATGGCACTAAATTATGTAAATTGATCCGCATAATATTAGACGTAATTTTTATTTCAGAGTAGCAAAAAAATGCAACTTACAAAACAAAACATGTAAAGCAACAAGAATGCTCTTTAAATCTTCAGAGTTAGATTTTACTCATAAACAATTTTATGTCTTAAGTTTCAGTGCAGCCAAATTCAAACATCATTGTGAATCAATTAACATTTAATTTACTAATAAATTTAAATATATACATGTATATAAATATATAAGATAAAAATACTTGCCATTGCCCTTCTAATATTTGTTTTGTTTTCTTATATTTAAATTATATTCTTGAATTGTTAAAAAAGAATTTAACATATTTTAAAAGTGATGCCAATTCGTTTCAACCAGTCTTAATATTGTTTTTTTACAACTCTGAAAGCAAAAACTGCGACTGTTAAGTTGATTTCTTTTATGATAAATTTTATTTATTTAAATATTATTTTATTTATTTCATTTATTTAAGATAAATTTGTAATTTATACTTAAATTTAATGAAAAGGAAAAGTAATGATTTTTTAAATAATACTGAATGCGTCTAATTTATATCTTCCATGTATTTATGTAGTCTATTAATATTTTATGTAGTATTAACTACTAGTAGTTAAGCGCGAATACTATCATACCATATGAGAATTTTAAATAAAAAAAACCTTTGCCGTTGTTTGAACTAAATAATAAAAACGCCATGAGAATTATAAATATATTATTTAAAATATATACCATATATGTTAATGAAAAAACCAAACGATAAGTAATTTAAAAGCTTATACAAAAATTACGTATAAATTTCAATATCCTTATAAAATTTCATAAATTTTCAAATTTATTTTGTTTTCCTTATTTTTTTAGACATATACAAAACAATTCCGTGGCTTGCATTTAACTCCGTGCTTAGAAAAAATTGTATCCTTTAATTTAAGTGATATTGGCGAAGGTATACGTGAGGTTACTGTTAAGGAATGGTAAGTTTTAATGTTAGGATTTTTATAACGTAATAAAAATCATTATTTATGTATATTGTTACTTAGGTTCGTTAAAGTTGGAGATACTGTTGAGCAATTCGAAAATCTTTGTGAGGTACAATCGGATAAGGCTTCCGTTACAATAACAAGTCGGTATGATGGAAAAATCTTAAAACTCCATCATAAAATAGATGAGATTGCATTAGTGGGGAAACCGCTATTAGATTTTGAAGTGGAAGAGGAAGATGACGACAGTTCGAGTTCCGAAAGTTCAGATTCGGAATCCGAAGCTGATAAGGACAATAAGAATTTAAGTAGTGGTACCGATTCAAGCAGTAAGGTTGATTCTGAAAATATTGGACGACAGATTACATTGGCAACGCCTGCTGTGCGACGAATAGCAACAGAAAATAAAGTTGATTTATCTAAAGTGCCACCAACTGGCAAAAATGGACGTGTCCTTAAAGGTGATGTACTGGAATTTTTAGGCCAAGTGCCACCTGGCACCAATATACCACATCCCACCATTGCAGCAAAAGCTGCAACAACAGCAACTGCTTCAACCTCAAAGTCAATCGCAGCAGCTCCAGTAGCAGCAGATCGTGTTGAACCAATCAAAGGTGTACGTAAAGCTATGTTGAAATCCATGTCGGAATCACTAGTAAGTTTTTTAATTTTTGTGAATTGTATGAAAAAATGTCACAACTAATTTTTATTTTACAGAAAATACCACACTTTGCTTATAGCGATGAAATAGACATGACAAAATTGATCGATTTCCGTAATCAGTTAAAGGATGTGGCTAAAGAAAATGGCATCTCGAAACTAACATTTATGCCATTCTTTATAAAAGCCGCGTCGGTTTCTTTGACCAAATTTCCCATTCTAAATAGTTCTCTGAATTTGGAAAACGAAACTTTGATCTATAAAGGTGCACACAACATAAGTGTGGCTATTGATACACCACAAGGCTTGGTCGTTCCAAATATAAAAAACTGTCAAAACAAAAATATTATGGAAATCGCTGCTGATCTTAACGCATTGGTTGAGAGGGGACGTACAGGTTCCTTGTCACCACAAGACTTTGCTGATGGTACATTCTCTTTATCGAATATTGGCATTGTAAGTTTTAATAAAAAATATATAAATTATTTATAAATAATTAATTACTTTTTTAAGATTGGTGGTACCTACACACACCCTTGCATAATGGCGCCACAAGTATCTATAGGAGCCATGGGACGCACCAAGGTAAATAATATCCTTTGAAATTCAAGTTCATGCAGAATTATTCCAACGATTTTAATAATTGCAGGTTGTGCCGCGCTTTAATGAAAACGATCAAATAGTCAAGGCTTATGTTATGAGCGTTAGCTGGTCGGCTGATCATCGTGTTATTGATGGAGTAACCATGGCAAGCTTTTCAAATATGTGGAAAAAGTATCTGGAGAATCCTGCTATGTTTTTATTGAATTGAGATTATAGCTGATAAGCAGAAAATCTGATTTCTTAAGAATATCGTCTTCGTAAAAGTCTGCTCTGTTGCATTTATTTACTTTTAATTGAGAATTGTTGTAATTATAGTTTAAAAAATTTATGTGGATTATATTTGTGTAATATAATTATGTTGATAGATATATGTATATCGCTGTAACTGTGCATTTATTGGGATCTTGGTTTGAGATCAACTAATTTTAATAAGCCATTAATATTTTTGTTTATATTATATATATACCTCTTGTTGTGACATATCTTATTTAGAAACTCTACAGTGATAGTTTTCATATTAACTCTTATATAAAAACTTGTGGTATAAAATACTATAAAAATTTAAATAAAATCAAGTTGAAGAAGTATAATTAGTAGTATAAATTATAGTATAACAGCAAAGTTATGATATATATGAGTACATATATGGGATATGATTTTGTTGGTGATTCTGAAAAATGGAGATTTGTTTAGAGGCCTGAATTTAAGAATATTACAATATCCACAGAATATCGTTCGAGTCACTTTTCAATATTCAACTATATCTACGCTTTTTCTACAACAAATAATCCTTTAACTTTTTGGTGGACCGAATGTTTCAGCTTGCTAATCTTCTCAGAATTAGTGGGGCGCCTATTCTAAAAAATGGAACACTACGCTATGGAAGAAATTATACGCTTAAAGCTTAGTTCTAACATTTATTTCTTACGAAAAATTGTGCTAAAACTCCAAATAAAAACCTTATTATTGTTATTAACATATGTTGAGGCTAGTTGAGTCAGTGCACTTGAGCACTTTTATTCTCTGTTAACTGTGAGGTTTCTTCATAACCCCTTTGTACGCCTTGACTGGATTATTGTTTATCACTTCATCAGACTAAGCAATAATAGACCTTAAATCTGCGAACCCCCCGACGAGCCTGTAACCATTCTGAGATTCGATAACGAGGTATTGGTAAGTCTGTCCGTTTTCGCAAATAATTTCAGGACTCTATCCTTTATGTATTTTTTGATCGGATTAATCTTGAGGTCCCTAAGGATGTCATTCGTCCTTATGTACCATGGTACCTTGAAAAGTCTTCTCAGAGCCTTTGTGCAATTTCTAGCTGTCAAATACTAGTGATTGAGGCTTTGCTGAACGCTACACACACCTATATAGAAGTGACGGTCGAATTATTTGGTTATATATCAGCTTCCTGTTTTTAGTATTAAGATTTTCATTTTTGAATAGCGGTTGGAAATGATGAAAAATTTTGGCACAGCTAATTCTTTTCAGTTGAACATGTTTAAGCCATGTGAATCGTTTGTACACTGTGATGTCTAGATATTTAATGCTATCCTACCAGTTTATTACCATATCTCCCACTCTAAATCTCGACGGGTTTCATAAAATTTGGACATTGTTGAAAATTTTTTCTATAAGGAAATTTAATTAATTTCAAGTGGAAAGTAGATAGTGTGTGAGATAATCATATTGTTTTCGGTCCCATTTTTGACAAAATTTGAACAATTTTTTATTTAGACTGAATAAATAAGTTAATGTCTGACTTAACATATATGTTTTAAATAAAATATTTAATTAGGATGGTTTAAAACTTTTAGTTATCTTAAAAGGACATCAATTCAAAAGTTAACATTCTACTTAACCGATCATTCGATCATTAAAGTCAATATTATTTGTATTAGCGGTTATACACTGTTTCGTTTTAATAACTTTTTGTTCAAGATTTCTCACTCTTCCAATAACGAAAGCTCAGTGAAAATATTCAACACACGACAAATTGTTCCGAGACTTGCGCATTAATCGAGAATGCACGTGTTCCCTTTAAATACAACAAGAATTGTTTGTCAACAAACACTTGTGAAGAAGCCGGATCAAAACATAGGCTTGCGCATTTAGTGCACACAAACTTCAACAAGTGTGGGAAATATTCCAGTTCCAGGAATTTTGAAATATACTCAACACAGCAAGAAGCTTTCACCAAAATCCTAGCAGCTTTAAGCTACGAAAATTTTCATGGACTTTGCCAAGCAGAAACTTGAATCTTTATCAGTTGCAGTACAGACTTGGAAGTGTTAAGAGGTGTCCACGGAAGTACACGATTTAGAAAATTAATTTTATATACATATGTACATAAATATATAGTATATCTGCAACAATAATTAAGAAACTGGATACATTTGAATAATTTTTTATTAATTGCTTTAACTAAAGTTGTTAAGTTGAAACCAATGTGACTTTTAATTAATTAATTAATTATTTTTTCTACCAAGAAAACAAAAAAAATTTTTTTTATAATGGAAATGTGCGGAATTGAAACAATTTTAAAAGCAATAAATTGGTAAGTAGTGTTTTGTTATTTTATTATATGTAGAGATACACACATATAAACATATTTTATAAAATATTTTTTATATTCTTAAATTGTAAATGAAATTTATAAATTAATTATGAAAAGGTCTACATTTTGAATAATTTCAAGCTAACAAGTATTTTTCAAGTGTAAAAATTCTTCTGTCAATGCGAAAAAATGTGTAAAAAATAACACAAACGGACATATTTATTTATGTATTGTATTTTGACAAAATGACATGTACGCTAAGTAGAATTGTGAAAATTGTGTGTGTATACTGGGGATAGATTTTTCGTCTGTTTTAACGATTTTTCCAGTGACCTTGTTGCGTACGTACGCGCGAGTCTCATTTGAAATAACATTGCATCCTGTTGTTGTTGGTTGTTGGTTTTTGTTCGTTTTTGTTGGTTTTTGTTTTATTGATGTGTTGTTGTTGTTGCTACACTAACTTGCCATTGTTGTAGCGTTTGTTGTTATCACAGTACACTCGTCGTATAGTAGTAGTAGAGTATGTACTTGTACTCATTGTTGTTGTGTACGGAGTTAAGAGCATGCAGGGTTGGTTTTGTCTTGTGGCTTTTCTTTTTAAAAATAGCAACGCGTCGCATTTGGCAGCAGTAAGTACAATTTTGTTGCTTTTTATGTTTTTATGGCTTACACTCTTTCCTCGTCAAATCATTCGCACTTATCAGACTAGCGGGTGGCTTTGTTAGGTGTTATTAGGTGCTGCGCGAACAGAACAGAGGAAAGCAAGTCTTAATTCATAAAAATTGTTATTATTATTCCTACTAAAATGTTGCCATTGTTGTAAAATATTTTACATTTTTTCTTTTGATATTTTTATTTATGTTTTTGATGTTTCTTATTTTGTTTTATACTCTCTTTTAAGCTATGAAAAATGCTTGTAGTTTTATTTAATGGTTTGGCTCAACTTCAATTAAAAATTTGTTAGGAATTTTTTCTTGGTGCTTTAGTTTTATATTCCAACCCACAGATATAAACATTGTGTTTAATGTGAGTTTGAAACTTGCAGATAATATAATAAAATATTAAAATAAATTTTACGTTATACATAATTCTTAATTTTTAATTAAATTGCTTTGTGGCGCTGCGTTCCTTTGAGACGGAATTAATATTTATTAGTTTAAAACCCACTGCAGAGCAACCAAACGAAGGACATTTGTTTTCATTGCAACCTTTAGTTAAAACTCTGGGTAGTGCGGGCGCTTATTCCGCTTAGAGAGGAATTCCCTAATTGTTGGAAATGTAGCTTAAAACGTAACCAGTACATTTAAAGCTATTTAATGAAGAAATATAAATGTTATTAATTTGTTTACTGAATGGAAAATTTATGTATATGTTAAATAGTATATAAAATGATTTAATTCAAGGCTTCCAGTGTAACACTACCACAATCGAGTGAACACTGCAAGGCTTACTGCAGTTCTTTCTGTTTATTCGTGAAGAGAAACCCACGCAGAGAACTGTGCATCATTCATAATCCTCATTGCAGAAGTTGTGTAAATCTGCAGGAAAAAAAACCATTAAAAACTTTCTCCATTGAGATATTTCTTTGACAGCTCCTCAGCCTGTTTATCGATAAAGACGAAAGACCTATTAAATTATCTTAATTCGACAGGATGTATTTAGTCTGAGTTCTTCTATCTTAGAGGTTTCTGCGAGAAATATGGTGGCAAAATGGCAAAAAATCGCTAAGTGAGGTACATAGAAAGTTATCTGAACAACCACAAGAGTATATTTATTATATATAAGTAACCATCCCTAATTAGTTTTGTCGTGGTTGTGGATGTAAAGAGGTGTAGAAATCCGCATTTCATCTACTTTGTCAATGCCTATTTTTGACCATTAGAAGATTGAAAATGCTTGGGATGTCATTTATGATCGATCGGACAGATCTGTTAATCTTGAAATTTAAAATTTGAGTCAAGTTTATAGACTTTTCAGGTTAATTCACTTTTAATTGAAAGGAAGAAACGTGTCTTTCATTGGTTATCATTCTTTTAGCTAACCACTGCGGCCCTCTTGAGGTACTTCTTCATGGTAATCCATGGTAACACAATAGAAAAAAAGCCGCTACTCCAAACTAGTGTAACCTCCACTAATAGATCAAAAGACATCTTGCTTTTCAAATGAAGGTTAGAAGGCATTTAATTAAATAATATCAGACAAGATGTGAAGAAGTGAAGTTTTGAGAAAGTATTCTTTTTCTGATACATATTGAAGCCGGACTTTTATTTTACTTATTTTATTTAGAAGTCATCTTGATATTGCGAAGGAATTTCTGGTTAAAATGACTCGTCAAGTAAACTATCAGCAACCTCTGTATCATTGAAAACTACAAGTTTTAATTCTTCACACACGTAGCAGAGTCCTTCAGTTTTTTATCTAATTAATTGATTACAGACCTAGTCGTGAGCCTATAATAGTGTCGAGATTCACAGAACTGCATGGCTGAACCAGTTCTTGCAATGTTATCTGTCGATTTATTGTCATCAATTCTAATGAGACCAGGTATATATTACAACACTTTTATTATAAGATCAATGTCTATTTTTAGTGCTTATAATTGAATATATAAAGCATTATATAATGATGAAGTTAAGATGGTTTTGATATTCCTAAATCATCAGTCTAATATAAATAGATTAATTACTCGAGTTTATTTAAGGCAGCTCATTTTAAGAAGATACTTTAAATCATAACAATCTGCATATCTTTCAACTGAATCCTCATCTGAATAACTGGTTCTATTAAAGTTTGCAATAATTATGGCTAACAAAGTAATTTAGTACCCTGTCGAGCATAGCATTCCTTTAGACTTCTTTATTTAACATGATTTCGTTACAATGGATTCATATCTGGCAAGTTCGTTCTGGTGCTAAAAATGTCTAGTATCCAAAATACTTTAGTATTTACTTTTTGTGAAATATTCTGCAGTATAAAGTGTGATTAATCGACTATACATACCTTATTCACAGGAGAGCTAGTA